AAAAACCTTTTCATGCCTATTAATTAATAATGCCTATTTACATGCCTATTAATTAATGTTATTATTTATTGAGAGCTTGAGAATGTGATGAGTACTACTCCAAATACTTTATATATATTTGCTAACTAATCTAAGTCCCCTAATGTTCCTAAAAAGGTGATCCCATTATTAGACTTTCTTTCTAAATCAAGAAAGCTGAGGCACAGAAGTGGCGTAACATGTGCAAGATTACAAATGTTTGCAACTTGGATTTGAACCCTGACAGTCTGGTTCCAAAGTCCACACTCTCAAAATATTATGTAATGTGTTTCCGCCAGTAAGACTATTTATTGAGCCATGAATATGTTCTAAAGAAATTGTCCCAGGTATTTTAGCCAGACTGGAGGTTTTCAACTGGTGGTAATTTTACCCCCTAGTGGGCAATGTCTGGAGACAGCTTTGGGTGTCACAACTTGGAGTATGGGGATGTTATTGGCATCTAAGGGGTATAGGACAGGGGTATAGTTAAATACCCTACCATACACAGTCCCCACGAGGATTTCCCCAGGCCAAAATGTTAGCAGTGCCCTGAGGTTGAGAAACCTGGACATGGGCCCATGAGATGACGGTACTGTTAACATTTCCATAGTTAAAGATAAGGAGTTGGAGACTTGAGAGGTATGGTACATTCTCCAAGAGTGTACCCAAGCCTCTGACTTCAGAATCCAATGGCTGACACCTCCCACTACAGTGCCTCTTATAGGAATGATACATTCCCGCAGCATTTAATTGACTTTATAAAAACTTTGTATTTATAGGAAATTTGAAAAAAAATAGCGTATTGCTATATCTTTCTTCTAGATCCCCCGATTCTTAGCATTTTCCCACATCTGTTTTCGCCATCCCTCTTCCAATCCCAGTTCTTTCTTTCAGTAATGTGCCAGGTTCCTAGTAAGACCTCCATGAATGATTATTAGCAATGGTGGCAAAAGACCACCACCTGGGCAGATTCCAAGTCATCAGAGCATCATGGACATCTACTGATCTGTTCAGTTGGCCGGACACCAGCCTTTTCCTTTTATTTTTCTTTTCCCTCCTTCCCTTCCTCTTTTTGCTTTTTTTTCTTCCCTGGACCTTTTTTGGGATATGTTGTAGATATGACATCACACGCATCTTCTATAAACAAGGACATTCTTCTACATCTCTATCATGCCATTATCACACCTAAGAAAAGTCTCCAATTACCTGGCAATGGGTTTTATGGCTGCTTTCTCCCCTAGGTCAGGGTCTAATTTAAAGTACAAACATATCATTGGGTTGGTACGACCTTTTAGGCTTTAAAAAAAAAATCTTACAGACTATTCTACATTATGGATTTGTCTGACTATGCTCAGGGTTAGACTTGGATTCAATGTTTTCGTGAGGGACTGTCCATGATGTTTTTATTGCATCAGATTAGAAGGCATATTATGGCACTGGGTCTCAGTGATGTTAGTTTTACCACCTGTGTAATTGGTGGCTGCACACACCACATCTCTCCAATGCAAAAGTACATTTTATCTTCTGGAAGTAATACACAATTTGTGGGATAATGCTTTGAGTCCATATTAATATTCCTGTTCCCCCAAAACAGGAGGGCTTGTTTCTATATACACCTGCCACTTTTTTTTTTTTGGTAGAGACAGAGTCTCACTCTATTGTTCTCAGTAGAGTGCTGTGGCATCACACAGCTCACAGCAACCTCCAACTCCTGGGAGTAGGCAATTCTCTTGCCTCAGCCTCCCGAGTAGCTGGGACTTCAGGCGCCTGCCACAACGCCCGGCAATTTTTTTGTTGCAGTTCAGCTGGGGTTGGGTTTGAACTCACAACCCTTGGTATATGGGGCTGGCGCCCTACCCACTGAGCCACAGGTGCCGCCCACCTGCCACTTTTTTAAGCTGTGGGACTTTAGAAAGAGATAAAAAATAATCACTTCACTTTTGGGCAGCGCCTGTGGCTCAAAGGAGTATGGTGCTGGCCCCATATGCCAGAGGTGGCGGGTTCAAACCCAGCCCCCGCCAAAAACTCAAAAAAAAAAATCACTTCACTTTTTCAAAACTGCATTTCAGCTTGGCGCCTGTGGCTCAAATGGCTAAGGTACCAGCCATATATACCTGAGCTGGTGGGTTCAAATCCAGCCCAGGCCCGCCAAACAACAATGACAGCTGCAACCAAAAAATAGTCGGGCACTGTGGCAGGTGCCTATAATCCCAGCTACTTGGGAGGTGAAGGCAGGAGATGCGCTTGAGCCCAGGAGTTGGAGGTTGCTGTGAGCTGTGATGCTACAGCACTCTACCCAGGGTGACAGGGTGACAGCTTGAGGCTCAGTCTCAAAAAAAAAAACAAAAAAACAAAAAAACCCTGAGTTTCAATAGGAATAATATCTTCCTTCTAGGACTATGTTAAGGGTTATACTATGGACTGAACTATGACTCCCCACAATTCTCAGGTGGAAGCCCTAATTCCTAAAGTGATAATATTTGGAGATGAGGCTTATGGAAGAGATTCCATTTAAATGAGGTTAGGAAGGGCACCTCATAACATTAGTGCCCTTATAGGAGGAGACACCAGAGAGCTCTCTCTTTCCATCATGCAAAGATACATACAAACCAGGAAAAAGTCCTCACCAGAACCTGGCACCCTGATCTTGAACTTCCAGCCTCCAGAGCTGTGAGAAAATAAATGTATGTTGTTAAAGCTGCCCAGTCTAGGGTGGTGCCTATGGCTCAGTAAGTAGGGCGCCAGCCCCACAAACCGAGGGTGGAGGGTTCAAACCCAGCCCCAGCCAAACTGCAACAAAAAACAGCCAGGCATTATGACAGGCGCCTGTAGTCCCAGCTACAAGAGAGGCTAAAGCAAGAGAATCACCTAAACTCAAGAGCTGGAGGTTGCTGTGAGCTGTGACGCCATGGCACGCTACCGAGGGTGACAAAGTGAAACTGTCTCTTAAAAAAAAAGAAAAAGAAAAAAAAGCCGCCCAGTCTATGTTATTTTGTTGAGGTAACCCAAGATGACTAAGACAGATTAAGTGCTAAACCCCTTTTGACAGTCTCCAGAACATCACTTGACACAAAAATAGCTAATGAATGTAATATAGTTCTTTCCTACAATCTCTGAGATTCTGGGGGTTGTCCTGAGTTGCCAAAGAAAAAGGCTGTGTTATGCTGCCTTGCCAGCAGACTGAACTCAAAGTGAGAGGGAATGAGGAGTGTCAGTAGCCCAACTCAGCTACGGCCACCCTGACACCATGGCCTGGTTCATATTGAAAATGTTGAGGTCACTGGGCACCTGTAGCTCCGTGGTTACAGCGCTGGCCCTGTGCAACAGGGGTGGCGGGCTTAACCCTGGCCCCAGCCTGCTTTGCTTAACACAAAGAAAAAAAAGAGAGAAGATGTTGAGGGAATAAGAGGATAGGCTTGTGATTTACTGTTCTCAGCAGTGGTAAGACCCTGGGCATGTTGTTCCTAAGCCACAGTTTCCTCATCTGTTAAAGGGGAATAGTAATTGTACCGGCTTACAGCATTGTTATGAAGATTAACTGAAAGAGCATATTCAGATCGTAGTAAAACATCTGACATGTATAAGCATGCCGGAAACACAGGGAAGATTTGGTTACTAGAAATAGTAGCAAAGGAGGGAAAAAAACAAACCCCAACATATTGGAGAAAGTCACTGGGTTCCCTGATAGCTACTGATCTGTCAAGCACTCATGCCTACTGGCATGACTACTCCCTTCCTGCGGGTACCAAGAAAGATAGACCCTGCCTTTACAAAGTTTACATTCTAATGGAGAAAATAATCGAGATAGAAAGAAAGTATATTGCAATATGTGCTAAGAAGAAAACAGAGAGCCATGACAGAGGCTGCTGTTAGGGAAAAGAGGCTTTTGGTAGAACTATCAGAGCAAGCCTCTCAGAGGTGATGACCTGGAGGATGAGACTTAAAGGATGGGAGGGATTTAACACTTCAAATGGATGGAAGGAAAAGCTTTCCAGGAAGGGGAATAGTGAAGACAAAAGCCATGAGGTAAAAAAGTGCAAGGCAGGCTTAGAGCGCAGAATGGGGCTAGGGAGAAGACTCAGTGTATCTGGGCCGAGTCTGAACGTGAGATGAGGCAAGAGCCTGATTGCAGAAGGCTGTGTAGACCATGAATAGAGTGATGAGAAGCCTCTGAAGACGGCTTGTTTTTATTTTTTAATTGATTTACTTTTTTTCCCTTCGGCTTGTTTTAAATTGTGGTAAGTACACATATCATAAAATTTACCATTTTAACCACTTTAAAGTATGCTATTCAGTGGCATTAAATACATTCCTGTTGTTATACAATCATCCTTGTCTAGAACCTCTTAATCGTCTCGAATGGAAACTCTCTATCCATTAAACAATAACTCTCCATTTCTACTTCCCCCAGCCAATGAAGGGTTTTATATAAGGAGATAAACAGTCCAATTGGCATTCTGAGATGATTACAAATGAAATGATATGAAATTGAATCAGAATGAAATGAAAAGGCAAATGAATCACTGTAAGGCACAGGTTGGAACGAAAAGAGCAGCAAATGGCTCGGCGCCTATAGCTCAACCGGCTAGGGCGCCAGCCACGTACACCTAAGGTGGCGGGTTCGAATCCCCAGCCCGGACCCGCCAAACAACAATGATGGCTGCAACCAAAAAATAGCCAGGCGCTGTGGCGGGCGCCTGTGGTCCCAGCTACTTGGGAGGCGGAGGCAGGAGACTCGCTTGAGCCCAGGAGTTGGAGGTTGCTGTGAGCTGTAATGCCATGGCACTCTACCCAGGGGGACAGCTTGAGGCTCTGTCTCAAAAAAAAAAAAAAAAAAAAAAAGAGCAGCAAATGGAATGATAGTTTGAACAAGAAGTGAAGATAGAGAAAAATGGACAGATTTGAGAAGCACTACTGGCAGGATTCAGTGTGTCCATTCCCTGTTGGTGCTTATGGGGGCTCTAGTGGTGAAAGGTACTCACAGCTGACCTGGGAGCCCAGCTTGTGCTCCCAGACGGCACGCAGTTGCTGGTAATCTTGCTGTGCAAGCTCCAGGCGCTGCTGCTTCACCTGATAGATCTCCTTTTGTGCACTCAGAGCCTCCTGGGCCACCACCAGGTAATCCTTCAGCATGTGTTCCTGCTCCCGGCGCCATTGTACTCGGGGATCCTCGATCTGAGTGGTTTCTAAAACAGATTCCAGAGATTTTAGATCAGCATCTCACAAATATCTTTTGAGTTGATGTCCTGTGGAATCTACTACCAGAAAATGAAACACAAAATCCATAGAAAATCACAATAAATGTAAATGGGTTAAACCCATTTACTAAATGACAGAGATTCTCCATTTGAATTAGTCAAACAAAAAATAAACAAAGATAAATTTCCAAACCCTTCACTTCTAAGTCGCTTTTTAAAAAAATTCCAAACCCAAAGTTAATCTCTGAGAATAGCCAGAAAAAGGACTAAGGCTGAGTTCTAATCTAGATAGGAAAGCTCAAAGATATTACAGGTGCTCAAGATAATCTGTTTTGATGAAGAATAAAGAAAAGAATAACGACTAATATTTCAGAGGATATGGAGAAACAGGCATCCCATACACAGCTGGAAATATGTGTATAATTAGAACAGCCTTCCTAGAGGGCTTTTTAACCATGCAAATTAAGAACCTTGAAATGTAAATAATCCCCTCTGTGGTAATTTATTATAAAAAGTAGCAAAAACTTCAGGCAAATATAGATTTTTACAAAACCATCATAATAATAAGCAGAAAACATATATTTAATGTTTATTCTATGACAAGTACTATTCTAAGTAATTTACATGTATTTACTTCTTCAATCCTTACATTAACCATACAAAGTAGATTACATTACTATCACCATTATACCATGGAGAACACTGAGATATAAAGAGGTTAACGACCTTGCTGAAGGTCACATAGGAAATAACTGTTCAAATAAGTATGCTACATTTGCATAATGCACTATCACATAGCCATTAAAAATAAAGTCCTTGAAAAAAATGGAAAGTGTTTATGATACAAAAGTGAATGCAAATGAAGGTTGTTAAACTAAATGAATAATTTTGAATTTATCAAAGTATATATGTACATTCTCAAAGAGATTAGGAGGAAACAGCAAAACATCAACAACCAGCTGGGTGGTAGGATATTTTTTTCTTTATTCTTTCTGTTTGTTTTTAAATTTTGTATAAAATAAATATGTACAATGATAATCCAAAAAACAAATCGAAGTAAAAAGATACACGTTGAAAAAAATGCAGCTGAGAAGTGGAAGAGGTCAAAGGATCAATGCCTAGTTGTTGAGTGGGGTTAGGGGTGATTGACAAACTAGAAATTGTTCAGTCATGGTCATGTGGTGAATTCAGCCTACAGACAGGTTTTGCTTAGCTGAAAGTGTTTAAGTAATTTTGAAATTATTACTGGTTTATAGAAAGAGAGATTTATTCATTAAGATTCTGTTTTACAGCTTTTCTTGGGATCATTCAGAAGATCTGGCCACTTGGGTTAACAATTTGCCACAGACCCCAGCATTCCATCTGTCAAAACCTGACTAATGTTTCTTCATTCATTTATGCTCCGTGCCTGGCCCTTGGGGACATCTGAGTTTGTGCCTCCTAACCTAGGCCCTTTAGCACCGATTCCTTCCAAACAGGTCCAATGAGCATCTCCAGTGACAGAAAGATCAAAGAAGCAGCAGGGCCAAGTTCTGATCCCTGCTATGTAACCTCTTTGAATCTACTTCTGTATCTGTTAAAGAGGATGACAGACCCTGCATCATTACTTCCCAGGTATTAAAGCACTTCCGCCTAGGTAAAGAAAATAAGTGATGGTGAAAGTAAAACTAAAACTATTGCCTACAACCAGTTTTTGAATTGCCTGTGAATAGTAATTCTTTAAACTTTTCCTCCTCCCATTTTCTGAGAAAGAAAACAAGGTCTGAAGATGCTGCCAGTAGCCACAAAATGCTTCCAACAAGGAAAGTTACACTCCTTCAACTAAGCAAGAGGGAGGAATAAATGTAAGAGAAGGAAATAAAAAAAGAGAGCAGGGGAGAATTTATAAAGCTGGGCTTAAGAACAGCTGCTGCAGCCCCCATCTCACATCAGAGGGGTGAGTGGATTCCATCAGCATTTGGGACCTGTGGGTTCCCTTAGGGACCAAACCTGTACCTACCTGCAGCTGGCCCACACTGCCAAAAAGCAACTCAGCCTGTCCTGGTCAGGCTGGAGATGTCTGTAACTTTTTAAAACTTAATTTTTCATTTAAGAATAATTAAAAATACAAAAAAGAAAAATCCCACAATTCCACCACTACAAATTTGTAAAATAAGAGGGGAGGGTTTCCATCTTTCCACCCCTGTTCCCCAGAGATCAGCATTGATAAGTCTCACACAGACATCACCCTCTGAGTATCTGCAAATCTTTGTTTCTCTCCATATATATTATATGTCTATTTATACAAAGTTATTTTTGAAGCAACATGGACCATGTCATATTAGATATTGATATGCAAGTTGTTCTCATCTCCAAATGATCTATCATGTTCATCTTTCCATATAGGTGCACAATTTTTAAATGGCCATATTTGGTATTACATGACATTAGGGTTTATTTAACCAAACCTCTATTAGGAAACATTTGGGTCATTTCAGTTCTTTTGCTTTCACAATCAATACTAGTGAGAGTTCTTAAAAACAAACTTCTGACTGGGTAAGGTGGCTCATACCTGTAAACCTCGACTCTGGGAAGCCGAGGTAGGTGGATTACTTGAGGTCCAGAGTTCAAGACCAGCCTGAGCAAGAGCAAGACCTGATTTCTACTAAAAATAGAAAAACTAGCTAGGCATCATGGCAGGTGCTTGCACTCTCAGCTAATGGGAAGGCCGACACAAGAGGATTGCTGGAGCCCAAGAGTTTGAGGTTGCTGTGAGCTATAACGACACCAGGGCACTCTAGCCAAACAACAGAGTGAGATTCTGTGTCAAAAGAAAAAACAAAACAAAACAAAACCCTACTTCTTTGACCTTGTGGTATTAATTCTATAGATTTCTTGAAAGAGGAACTACTGGGTCAAGTGGGTACACACACACGTTTTAAGTTTCAATAGATACTATTAAATTATCTTCTATAATCAAAGGTTCTAATTTATAGTCTCAAAACAATTTACAAGAGTGCTTTTTCCCCAGATTCTCAGTGAAACTGCTTTTTGTTTTGTTTTGTTTTTTTTTTTTGAGACAGTCTCACACTGTCACCCAGGCTGAGGTATAGTGGCACAATCAAAGCTCACTACAGCCTCAAATTCCTGGGCTCAAATCTTGCCAGTGGCTGGGACTACAGATGCATGCCACCATGCCCAGCTAATTTTTCCGTTTTTTTTTGTAGAGACAGGGTCTCATTATGTTACCCAGGCTGTTCTTGAACTCTTGGCCTCCCCAAGTATTGAAATTACAAGGGTGAGCCACTGCATCCAGCCTTTTTTTCTTTCCAGATAGTGCCTCATTCAGTGATTTTGTCTTTGCTGTACATTAGAATCAGCTGAGAAACTTCAAAAAACAAAAATAGACACAAAATACTTAAATCAGAATTTCTAGGAGTAGGGCCCAGGTGTTGATAGTTTTAAAACCTTCCCTAAGTGACTCTGATCACCTCCACCTGGGTGAACACTAGAATCACTCCCCCTCCAGACCAATTAACTCAGAATCCCATATAATTTCAGTGTGACCCAAAAGGTGAAAACCAGTATCTAAGTGATCACACATACCTAGGCTGGGCAGTTACTGTGGTGGCAGGCGTGGCTGGCAGGAGCAAAGATGAGCTCCAGATGGCATCACCTGCCACAGGACTGGTTGAAACGCTGGCCCTCACCCAGTGAGCTCACCTGGATGCATCCCCCCTGCAGAGTTCTGGATTTAGTCCAGGAGGGCCACCCTCCTTTTGGCCTCAGGCCTGAGCCCTGCTCCATGGAATCCTGGATAAAAGTATGTGCAGCCTTAATTGAAGGCCTGGCTCAGCCAGGCAGCTTGGCCACCATTTTTGTTGGGCCACATGCTCTTTTGTGTTATAAATCAATACTAAGAGATGGTGCATAAACAGATTAACACACACAGTCCTACCAGAGTGCTGGTTCCCAGCCTGGCCTCACAACTGGGAAGATTTCCATTTAACTGGTCTGCAGTATGAAGTGAGAAAATCAGTATGTTTTTAAAATCAACTTTATTAAGGCATCATTTAAATAAAGTACAGCCATTTAAACTGTATTGTTTGACTCTGGGGTGTCCAACATTTTTCTTCTCGGCTGCACATTGAAAGAAGAGTTGTTTTGGGCCACATTTTAAATACACAAACATAAACAAAATCTAATAAGAAAAAAAATTGTGCATACTTTTCGCAATATCCAACACCATAGATAAGCCAAACAGTCCTTAAATAATCTGTATGTGACCCATGGGCTACAGATTGGACACCCCTGAACCACCATTTCAATTATTAGAACATTTCTTTTAACTCAATGATCCCTTGGACTCTTTCCCAGCAACTCTCCACCCACACCCTCCTGCCAAGTTTTGCCTGT